AGTAGAAATTGCTAGAGAAACTTGGTTAATTTTATTTCGCTATGTGAGACTCACCGGAGCTAATTGGATCGATGGCGGAGATAATTCACTCGACGAGTCAGGCCTATTGGCAAAGCTAAGATCGGTTATAATTCACTAAGTTCGACGCTTTCGAACTTCTCGGGTCACTGAGATCGTAACTCTAATTCTCTGAGATGGTGAAGTCGAAACTTATTTTTCTGTATGCTACTTTGTACAATTTATACTACAGGAATGGCTTTGCGACCGTTCGGAGATAAATAACAAATAAACGCCGCTACCCACAGGATTGCTCAGCACTTTCCTCCGCTATACCATATACCATACGACTCTCTTGCGCTCCCACTTGCTCTTTCCAGCCCCTATAGGTCGCCTCGACGCTTCGCCACCTGACCCAAGCGGTCCCATCACTCCGTGCGACACGCCGGTCACGTGTTAATTACCTCCGGCCGTTTGCTGACTGATGCTGACCTTATGGTGACTCGTATGCATCCGCACCTTCGGTATCTTGATGGAAATGAGGGGGAGTGAGTGCTGGAGAGTGGGCATGAGGACGACGCCCCTCGATAGAAGTGTCCGCGGGTCCCGGAGCTAATGCAGCTAGAAGTCGCATTGGTTCAGTCACTCCGGAGCTTCGGTGTGCGGAGATAAATCGCGGAATGGGTCCGTGTACGCCTCGAGGATGTTAGGAAGTCCGGAGCTAAATAGAAAAAGTCTTTTAGAGCCCATAGAAGCCTAGAGGCGTGTGAGCGCTGTGTCGAATAAGCTCCGGGGCGCTTGTATGATGTGCTGAATCCGCGTTTTCGGGGGTCAGACGATCCTGGGGCTTATCAACGCGCATTTTGATTTTTCAAAAATCCCAAAATCTCGGCTAGGCCACAGCCAGAAGTAGCTGTCAGTCAATCTTGATCGAGAATGCATTGAGAATGCATATGTAAGCATATGACTCCCAGACTCAGTCTGTTGCTGTTTACATGTGTCGAGCTAATTCCTTCAAGTGACAAATGCCATTCATATGTTCTGAGAACATGTACTTCCAATTTTCTGGTGTTGAACACCCCTCTTTACCACTGTAGATGCTAGTGGCAGAGAAACTCCCAAGCTGTGGCTGTGATGCCAAGGGACCAAAATAGCATACCACACAACCACATCATCATCATGTGCCTCGGCTGATGACACCTGGCCTGATTTTCAGGATTTTTGATAAATTGGAAGAAAAAGTTGGCACAGCCAATCTTTTCCAAAAATGTTGTAACGGGTGTCAGACCACATTGCCTATACTCCACATAATATACCCCTTCAACCCCTGGCCGTTTGGACCAGTCCATCAAGTCTGGGAGCTCCCCCACTTCCCATACTACCCACCAGCCACGCTACAACTCATCCCTTTGTCTATTGCCTAGTTGTCGACTCTAGGACTTGCTATCTGGTCTCTAGTCCCTTCCCCCTAACCCCCCTCTAACCCAAACCCTAACAGTTGGGTCCGCGGGGAGGGCGCAATGCTTGGTGCAAGGGCACTGTGGCAAGCACTCACCAACACCAGCGGGGGTGATTGGACGGGTGGGAAATGTGGCACAACACAGGTCAAACTAGTGGAAGTCAGATACCGGGCCACCTAATGCTGAGTTCCACTTCCACTAGTTTGGTAATGCCTCGCTCAAGAAGTGGGATCCATCCATAAATAGCACATGTCACACTCAGGGTGAGAATAGACACCACTGGGACCACTGGGAAACTGAGGACCCAGCTAACCCTACCCTACCCTACCCTACACTTCGGGGTTTACACTCTTTTAGGCCTAGCAAAAGATTGTACGGTAGGGATATATGAAAGATTGGCTTTTGTATATGATTTTGAGGCTCACAAAAGATGATCTTTATTGAGAATTTCGAAGCTTGTAATATATATTTTCAGCAGTATTATCTTTGTCGATACATTATAATTAAATCTTTCAGATTCCCTTCTGACACTGGAGGATTTGTAATCT